AAGTTCAGCTCTTATCCCCTACCCCTTCCCTCTCACTGTCCCCCCACCTCCCTGTGCCACGCCCCCACCTCTTCTGGCTGCCCCAGCTCCTGCTCTGGCCTTGGTTATGGCCAGGACAGCCGCCCCTCCATCCCCTCCCCTCCATCCCCTCGACCTTACCTCTGTGCCTCCCAGGTCATTCCCCCACCCCACCTCCCATGCAGGTCATCCGTCAGTCCACCTGCTGGCCCCAGCTGCATACCTGCTTCCCCAGGACACACAGGGGCTGTCCCTAGAAGCCCCATCACTGCGGGGCTCCTCCAGTAGCAGAGGCATCAGCTGGGGGGTGGGCATGGGGCCCAGGGGGAAGGGGAGTCCTGGCCTGCGCACAGGCGGGGGGCTGAAGAGCGGCGGCGTCACAGCCACCCTGTGAGTGCCCTCGCTCAGCCCCCCGGGGCCTGGGGGCCGGTCAGGCACCAGCTGCACAGGGGACTCTGGGAATAGAAAGGGACTCTGTGTGAGGGGGGCGTGGAGGTGAAGGGAGGGGTGAGGAGGGGCAGGGTGGGGGTGTGAGGGTGTAACGTGGAGTGGGTGCGGGGCGGTGAGGACAGAGGTGAGTGAGGAGGGCAGATGGGTTGTGGGGGTAGGAGGGTGGGGTGGGGGAGCAGGGAAGGTGGTGCGGTGGGAAGGCGAAGGCCAGACTGGGGGTTGGAAGACAGACCGTGTGAAGGCCTGGCCACAGGTGGCATGCGCCTGGCCTGGCCAGCACCTCCCCGGGGTTGGCCCCCAGGTAAGTCTCTACAGGTGGTTTGCTCACCTGGAGGGGCGCTGAGTGGGGTCTCCTCGTGAGTGGTGCCAGGCCCTGGACTCCGGAATGCCACAGGGCGGGGCTCAGCAGGCCCAGAGCTGGATTCAGAGAGGGAGGGTGGCTTCTAACTGACCTGGGCCCTGGCCCCCCACCCTGCTCCTTGGTTGGTGCTGCCCCCAACACCCCTGTTAAAGGGACGAGGGGGCATCTTACCTGGCCTGCCCTCCTGCAGGGGCAAGGGCAACTGGGCTCCTGCTGCCCCCTTTCTGGGTCACCTTCTCCACCCGCCGCCATTTGGCCCGGCGATTCTGGAACCACACCTGGGGGGTCGGGGTGGGGTCTGAGGAGACTGAGAAGGGTGGGGCCCCAGGCTTGGGGGTCAGGGGAAGGGGGCAGGCTGGTGGGTGGGGGCTTAGGGCTCAGGCTCTCCTACCAGGCCTGGAGGCTACCTCCAGGTCAGCCAGCTTCACCAGTAGGCTTGGGCACTGTGGGAGTGGGGGGGAGAGCTGCCCCCCTCCATACCATGATGCGTTGCGGGGCGACCCCCACGGTCTGGGAGATCTCCCGGCGCCGGTCGCTGTCCGGGTAGTGGTCTTCCTGGAATGCTTTCTCCAACTCCTCCAACTGGTCTGAGGAAAGGACTTGAGACGTGGCAGGAGCCCGCCAGGGGCCGCTGCCCCCCACCCCCCACCCCCAGCAATGGGTTGTCCCCACCAGGACCCACTCCCTTTGTGAAAAGCCAGACTCAGTGCTGAGGTCAGAGGCTGCATCCTCCCACCTTGGGGGCCACAGTCTGAGCACAGCCTCCCGTCCCAGGAAGGAGCCAGCCTGGGCCACCTTCAGCCTTTGCACCTTGGAGACTGACCTGAACGGTACAGGGTCCGGCTTTTCTTCCTAGGTTGGCAGGGTCCCTCTGGGGGCCCCTGCTTCTGGCTGGAGCCGGGGCTGCCCGATGCCAATGTGCTGAGCAGGTTGGCCAGGTGGCAGGGGCCCCTGCCCAGCCCACAAGGTACAGGGTGGTGGAGGGCTGGATCCGATGGGGGCCCACAGGGGGCTGCCACTGCCTCCCCAACCCTGGCCTTCAGCCTCTTCTGTTGGGCGGGGGCCAGGGATGAGGGAGTCCTGCCCGGCTTGGCCTCTCTGCCCTGGAGGGGGCGTCCTGGCCCCCGAGACGCAGGGCCCACTGGGTCTAGAGGCCCGTCTTTGCCAGACCGGCTGCACTGTCGGGCCCCTGAGCTGGGGAGCTGGGGCCTTTCCCCAGTGCCTGCCCCAGGGGTGCCTCTGGATGTCTTGGGGGGCGTCCTCTCAGCTGGAGTGCCCTGTGCTTGGAGTTCTGCCTTGGGGCCAGCAGACAGGGGCCCGATTCCAGCGTCCTGGCCTGTGGAAGCAACACCGCTGACCTTAGTCAGGAGGCCGACAAAATCCCCCTCCAGCACACAGCCAGCCCAAGCTGGCCCCTAACCCACTGAGGGTCACACAAGACGGAGCAGACAAATGTCCATCAATGGGCAGCAGGAGAAACCAGGCTCTGGCAAGTCCATTCCCTCCTGGCCACCCTGGTTGTGGGTCCACTGCCCCATGGGCTTTCGCATGGCTGAACTTTCTGAAGCAGACTGCCAGCCCTTTCTTGTTACGTACTTCCGACCCCCACACCCTCAGCCAGCAGTCAAGGGTTCGGGCTGCTGGCGTCACCAGGGACCCTAGGGCATGGGGGCCCCTTCTAATCTGGGGCACTCACCCCTGTAACGGAGCTTTGGTGGCACAGAGAGCTACTCATGGGCCCAGTAACCACAAGGCCAGGGGTTTGAACCCACTAGCCACCGTTCCAAGGGAGAAAGATGAGGCTTTCTGCCCCTATAAAGGTAGTCTTAGAAAGCCACACAGGCAGTTCTGTCCTGTCCTGTCCTGTCGGGTCGCCATGTGTCAGACTTGACTCAAAGGCAGGATTTTTTTGGTGGGGGGCACCCTGTAAGCTCTCTTGTTTCCCAGACCCCAAGGAGGGGGGTGTGGGGGAGCAGTGGAGGGCGAGGAGAAGGATGATTCTGTTCCCTCTCCAGGAGCCCTGATGGTGAGGTATGTTACCCTTTGGGCCGCTAACTGCCAGGTCAGCAGGTAAAATCCCACAGCAATTCTACAGAAAAAGGACGAGGCTCTCTACTCCCATAAAGAGTCTCAGAAACCCACTGGGCAGTCTGCTGTGTCCTAGACTCACCATGAGTCAGCATCCACTCCCTGGCCAGGAGTTTTGTTTAACGAGATCCCGACCCCCAGGACACGGGGATCAGGTGGGGCTCTGTCCTCTCCACCCCACCCCCAACACAGATTCCCCACTTAGCTGAGAAGGCAAGGGGAAGGTCAGCCCCCCAGATGGCTCCCGAGCACCCCTTCCCAGTACCCCACTCCCAGCAGATCTTTCTGTGGGTTTAGACTGCCTGGGGGCTAGCGTCTCGCCCCTCCCCCAACAGAGTTAAAGCAAGGTAGCTGCAACCACACCTCAGCAGACCTGGGGGGCTTCCAGGTACCCTATGTGCCCAGCTCTACCCTGAGACCCCTGCCCACCATCCCCAATGCCTTGCCAGGCCCATGGAATCCCGCCACCTGGAGCCGGAGTATTTGAAATGGACGCTGGCTGGGGCCAAGGCGCCCCTCCCAGGGGTCGACTCCACCAGAGGGGTTTCAGCCCCGGGTCAATGGCAGGCAAGGTGAAAAGTCACGCCTCCCACAGCACAAACCAGCGGCCCACAGGGTGGGGACACAGCTGGGCCCCAGTGGACGTGGCCTCCTCTTACGACCCCCGGCCCCCCACACTCACCCCGCTGTCCTTGGCTCACACACCCCTTGGGCTCCATGGGTACACACTGGCGCCTGCCCGGCCCAAGCGCAGCCTAATGAAGGTGCGGGCGGGGCAGGTGGGCCGGGGCAGGCAGGTGTGCGCAGGGTCCCCCGGCCCTCGAGGTTCGGCCCACACGCGTGCCTGGCTGGGGAGGCGTCGGCCGGCCCACTCCACCCAGGTGCGGGCTGGTCAAGGTGGGCCACGCCCTGCTCAGGGCTCCCGGCCCGGCGGGAGGCTGCCACAACCCCCTGGAGCTGGTGGCTGACCCTGGAGCCCATGGAGGTACTCAGGTGAGGAGCCAAGGGGGCCGGCCACAGGGACACAGTAGGGTGGCGGGGCAGGCCTGAGCACGGGAGAGGGCAGCGGTCCAGGTTTGCCCCCCACGTGCCTCTTCCTTAACACTACTGGTCCCCTGAGAAGGGGGGGTGGGGCATCCTGCCTTCTTTATAAAAAACATCAACATTTGGAAATGTAAATTTCTCTTGGCCTTACTTCACTGGTTGAGGGGGGGATTCACCACCTGAGGCGGGCGCTGGGTGTGTGTGTGGGGGGGTGGGGAGAGTCTCAGCAGGCCCAGGTGTCTTGGTTTAAGGGTTAGCTGACTGACCGCAGGCGCCTGGACTGAGGCAGGAGTTAGTGTTTTCCCCGGGGGCTGGTGACAGGAAGTCTTCTCCCAAACCCAGCCAGCCCATCCCCCCCACAGCAACCCTGAACAGGGTGTCTGGGACACCACCCTTCATAAGGGGTGTCCCTTTTGACTCAGGTTAGGCAGAAACTACCCTCTGGTTTAGGGGAGGGCGGCTTTGGAAGCAGGACCCTGCCTCTCAGCTGGGGATGGAGCAAGGGGCGTTCTAGGCGGGGAGCAAGGCTGGGGGCGGGGAAGATGTTTTCAGCAAGGAGGCCCACCCCAGCAGGCAGGCAGGCCATGGTGCAGAGGGACCCCGACCCCCGTGGAGCACCCTGTGGGGCCCTGCAGACCAGAAATGTGGTTCAGGGTAGTGTGTGGGCACTTGGGGGAGCAGGAGGCAGGCCTGCTAGATACTGCTCCGGGCTGAAGTCCACCCCTATGGGAGGACCAAGCCCCTCACCTGACCAGGTACCTTCCTGCCCACCCCTCCAGCCCCACTGGGAGTGCCCAATAAGCAGGGCCTGACGTGCTTACTGCCTAGTCTGTAGTGAAGCATTTCCCATGGTGTTCACCACATCAATGCTGTGCAAAAAGTTCGTGGAAGGCTTCCCCTCAGATTAGGAAGTAAGCGCACGTCAGGTGTGCTTACCCCCTGTGGGCAGAGCATGAGAAATGGCTCCCTATACTCATAAGCAAGCACAAGCATGTGCGTGCTTGCTTTGCTCTCTCGGCTCTTCATGCCTGCCAGGGATTTTAACTTTTCAGTATCCTGGGGGCTTAGCAGGGCACACATCGAGCTGCTAACCCCAAGGTTGGGGTTCCAACCTGGCAGTCCCTCCAAGGGGCAAAGATGAGGCTTTCTGCCCCCAGAAGAACTGACAGCCTTCGAGACCCAAAGGGTCCATTCTACTTTATCCTGTGGGGTCACTATGAGTCGGAGTCGGCACCATGGCAGTAATGGGGGGTGTTTAACGCTCTAGGAGGGAGCTGTGGAGTTGGGGTGAGGTGGGGGTGGGGCGGGAAGCAATGGCAGCCTGGTCTAGAAGCAGAGTCCCTGATGTTGGGGAAACACTAGAAACCGTTCACTCAGACTCACATAGACCCTCTAGGATGGGGTAGAGCTGTCCCTGTGGGTTTTATGAGAAGGTGACTGTGTGTGGGAGTAGCAAGCCTCCTCTTTCTGCTACAGAGCTGCTGGTAGCTCCGAGCTGCTGACCTTGAGGTTACCAGCCCGACCTGTAACTGCCCCCCCACCAGGGTTCCTAGGTTGCTCTCCACCGCTGAGTAAGTCAGCACAGGTGAGTCCCCACTTACCTGGGCCGTCAGACAGCCCTGATGGACAGATGGATGGACACCTGGGTGGGAACTTCTGAGGGGGCGCTGTGCTTGCTGGCTCAGAGGACCACTTCCCGAGGCTGGGACTCTGCCTCCTGGGACCCCCTGTGTGCCCCAGTAAGGGGCTTTCAATGACTGGCAGGCCTTTCTTCTGAGGCACCTCGGTGTGGAGTTGGAACTCCATCCTGGCAGGGAGCAGCCGAGGACTCTCAGGACCATGCCACCTCCCAGCAGGGCTCTTGGGAGGTCCCGGACACACTGCAGGTGGACAGATGCCTGGGGGCACCCATGAGAGAGAAAGTTGATGACAGCCGGTCTGGCTGAGAGGTGGGGGTGGCGATGCCTGAGTGAAGGGAGAGACGTTTTGTTCAGTATTGAGGGAGCCCTAGTGGCGTCGTGGTTACCAGTTGGGCTGCTGGCTAGAGGGTCAGCAGTTCAAAACCACCAGCCTCTCCGTGGGAGAAAGACAAGGCTTTCTACTCCCATAACCAGTTACAGTCTGGGGTACCCCACAGGGGCTGATCTACCCTGACCTATAGGGCCTTGCCTTCACCAGCAAGCAGCATTTCTTCAAAGAGCATGCTGGGCATTACAGCAAGCAGCCCTAGTGGCAATGTGGGTCAGGCATTGATTGGGCTGCTCACTACAAGTTCGCTGGTTCAAACCCACCAGCCACCTCTGGACAAAGAGGAGGCTTCTGCTCCTGTAAAGACTGAGAACCTTGGAAACCCTGCATAGGGTCGCTGTGGCTGGGGGTCCATGGGCGGAGGGGGGCCTTTTCTGCAGCCATGGACACTGTGCTGACCAGCACCCAGCAGGCTTCAGGTAAGCAGGACAAAGACTGGCGTGGCCCGGGTGGGGACACCCCTCAGGCAGAATGTTGGAGAACCTGGGGTCTGAGATTTGGTTCTGTTCTGGGCTGTGGGGCATGGAAGGTGCTGGCGTTTTCTACACATCGGAAAGATTTGAACTGCTGGATTTAGGCTGGGACGTGGAAACACAAGGCTGGTTGCACTTTTTGGTATCTTTTCTCTATTATTTTCTTAACCTTCTTAGCTCATGTTGCATGATTCTCCTTTAACAGATGATACAGTTGAGGCTTTTGATTTATTTACCAAAAAACGATGACTTCTGGGCCTGCATTCAAGGGCCCTGCATTTCAGAAGCACTTGGAGGGTGGTGTCCCGGGGGCAGGCAGGCTGCAAGGTGAGGGAGGTGCACCGTTCAGAGAAGCTACAGGCAGAGGGGCTGTACAGAGGAGTTACGCTGTGGGGAGGGCCGGGGGCAGTGGACTGCATGCTTATCGGGTCGAGGGCACCAAGCTGTGGCTCCAGGGTGTCCTGTGTCGACGTGCTGCGGGATACTTGTCCCTTTGAATCTCCTCCTCGGACCAGGTGACGAGGGGTTGTTTCTATCTGTTGTTGCCTCTGACAGCAAAGACTGTGGGCACCAGCCCTGTGTGTCTCTACAGAACACAGGGCCTGGTAACCTGCCTCCCCCAGGGGCCCCTCTCCACCACCCCACCCAGTGTTCCACGCACTGCTCCCCCGGCTGAGGAGGAAAGGCTTTTCATGTTGCCTTGGCTCCTAATGAGTCGTGGCCTGTCTACACCGCCACCGCCATCCCCTCCCTTAGGAGACTGGGCACGTTCACGCCTCTTCCCAGGGCAGGAGAAGTGGTGGGAGAAAGACCTGCATGTGGGCCCCTGGCCCTCTTGGGGAGCAAGGCCAGCCACGTTTGCGGCCCTGGTGCCAGCTATGCAATGGGGGTGACTGCCTGAAATCAGCCTTCTTTGCCTGTCTTTCCCACGGAGCCCCCAAAGAGGAAGGGCACCAGGACATGGAGGAGGAGGGAAAGCAGGTGGGGAGATTGAGACCCTTCCTCAAAGTGCCCCCACGCCCCGGTTCTCCCCCAGATCAGGCCCAAGGCCCCTTGTTCTCTCTTCTGGTCCCCGCTCTGCAGGTCAGCAAAGTCTCTGGGAGCCGAGGGAGGAGAGGGCCAGTGGCTGGCCGGCGGGGAGAGCTTATCCACAGCAAGCTGGGCAGGAGCCGGGCACCCTCCAGGGCAGCTGATAAGTACACATGGGGGACCCCAAGTGGACAGAGGCAGTGAAGGGGGCCATCAATATTGCAGACCCTCCAGGTCTCTGCCCAGGTGGAGCTCCAAAAATTGGAGCCAGAATTGCCAACACCTGGTGGAGGAGAGGCTGCCCTGGCAGGGCCCAGGCCATTTCCAGCACTTCCCTGGCCCCCTTGGAAACACGGGGGTGCTGCTCTTCCAGCTGTGCACTCTGAGCCTGGAAAGTGCCTCCCCACTTACCCCTTCTGGCCAATTCTGGTCTTGTCCAGTAAGGCAAAGCACCCTCTCTTTGTGCTCAGGCCATGGGGCACTGAGTCATGTTTCAAAGGAAGGCAGTCTCTGTTCGAACTGGCTTTTGTCTGGACGGCAAACTATTCCACTCAGGTGGGCTGCCCCAGGCTGGTCGCCGGGGATGGAAGGGTGGGTGGTGGTTCCTTATCTTCCCTCTTGGGTGGCAGTGGAGCAGCAGCATGGAACCCTGGCCAGGACTCCGGCAGGTCCCGCTGTGGCCATGAAGGGCGGCCACCAAGGTGCAGCTGCGGGGATCTTGACCACTGACCACAGGAACACACACGTGCATGTAAAACAGGCAGTCTGAGCAAGGTAGGGAGATGGTATCGTGTCTGGCCTACTGTGAGCTTGTTGTCACTCCTGGGGGAAGGTGGGAGGTGAGTACCCACCTACCCGAATGAATCCTCTCAGCAGCGATCGGATTGAGGACGCACTCTCCTGCACAGAACCAAGAGAACCCCTTTTCCCAAGCCAACCACGCCCACTGCCAGAGTCCGCTCTGGCTCACAGCCACCCCATCCGCCACCCCAGGTTTCCTGGATGGTGCATCTCTGTGGGGAGGGAGCGGGCTGGTAGGATTGACCTGCTGACCTCCAGGTGAGCAGTCTGGTGTTTAACCTGCACCACCACCAGGGATTTAAATCCCAGCATACTTTGGGGGTGGGTAGGCACCACTCACCCCTCTTGTTCTTTCTCTGACTTGGGTACAATTTGGTACCTGGCCTCCAGGTGGGACCCTCGCTGGAGGGGCTGAGACTGCAGAGACCACCTGAAACCAATCGCCGGGCCCACTAAGCTGCGGAGAGGGCTGAGCTGGGGCTGCCTGGCAGGTGGGGGCCAGTGTTGGCCCCTGGATGACTCGGGACCCGAGACACTGCTGCCCACTGCGGTTTTATTGGCTTTGCTGTTGAGAGCAACCCAGCCAAGCACACCCCATGGCTTGGTCCTGCAGCGCGTTCCAGTGTACATACAACTCAGGGGCCTTGGAGCAAAGCTCCACCCCCCACCTCCTGCCCTGAAGCTCCCTCCCTCACCATCTGGGTCTTTCAGTTTGGCCCCATCAAGACAGGTCTTTAAGGAGCACAGGGCTCAGGGCAGCCTCTTTTGACTGGCTGGGTGTCAAGCACCTCTCTGTTCTAAGAAGGCCCCGGGGGATCTCAACTACCCCTCAAGCCCTCCCTGGAGTCCAGGGGAATTTGTGATTTGTTTTATGCTTCCCCACTTTGGATGGGGACCCTGCTATGATGGAACAGGTGCTGTGATGGGCACCATCCTTTTCCTGTGGTCTCATAGTAGAAAAGGCAGCGAGCCACCCCATCCACATCCTCCTCCTCCTCCCGTGACTTGAAGTGAACACAGCCCAGTGGTTGGACTTGGGTGGATCCCCGAGAGCTTTTGAGACCCAGGGCACTATGTGATGACCCTAGGTGGGTGGGCCTGTTTCGGGCCTCTGCACTCTCGCCCATTGGTTGCTGTGTCTGTCGCTAAGTCGGGATGTTCTGGTTACCATTGTTGCAGACTCAGCGATCTTGATGGTCCCTGACAATGGACAGCAAAGGACACTGTGCATACTACTTCCATACCGACAGCAGTGCACCTGCCTGCTTGTCAGGCAAAGTGGCACCATTCACCGAGCATGGGGTGATGTGGGCATGGGGCCAGGCCCTGCACCTGCTGGAAAGGGGGCTTCTGGGTGGTCCACGTCACTCAGAACTGCCTCTGCAGGAAGGGGAGTCCACTGACGAAGTTGCGCTGTGTGGGAACCAGAAGGGTTTCTCTCAAGCTGTCTTCCCCAAATATATACCAGACTTAGCTGCTTGAGAATGACTGTACACTTGGAGGTCATCAGGAGTGGATTGGGGGTCATTCTTCCTGAGAGCTATCAGCTGTCTAGACCAAGCAGACACCACTGTTTATCCCACAAGTAGGGCCCACTCCCTTCTGATAAGGATAGTAGTTGTCTGTTTCCTTGTAGGAGACACCAGAGAGGTCAAACCCACCCAAGGATGACCAAGGTTAGGCTGCCATCATGAATCTAGGGTCTGCCCATCTTGTAACATGTATACCCCTAGACCTTCCCATTCCTATGGGCACACCCCTAGCTCATCCCCTTCCTGTTACACTTATGCCTATCATAGATCCCCTTCCTACAATGTGTATGCCTATTGTACTGCCCCTTCCTGTGATGTGTGATTCTATAATCATGTCCCCCTAAAGTGATATAATGTGTGGTTGGCAATAAAGAAAGGCTCTCTCCGGCTTCTGGGGCCCTCTCTGGCTCTCAGGCCAGGGGAGGCTCCCCGGTTCTCGGTCCCTGAGGCTGCTCCTGCTCTTGTAGCCGGGTTCCCCCCCATGAGGACCATCAAGTGGGGCTGAGGTGAGCAATGCTACCATGAATTGTGTCTGACTCCATTTATTCCAATCTCTCCTCTAACTCTCATGCTATGACTTTACTATAATCCTTACTTATTATCGCTGTACAATTTCGCCTACCAGACCTGTGATGATTTGTGGGGAACCTCTCTCCCCTTAACCCCACAACATTGTCCAAGCCAGACCCTTGGTCAGAGGGCTTCAGCTTGGTCTGGCAGAGGGGCCTGGTGTCGGACCTCTGTGGTAGTTATATAATCTGTTGTCAATTTGAGAGGATTACAAGTGAAGGGGTGGAATCTAGCCTGTCAATCATTGTACAGTCAATGAGGCCTCTGTGTGGCCATGGCTTTCCCCTGAGGATTCTGGGAATTGCTGTATTTCCTCTTTGGAAGTGGGAGACACTCACTCTCTCTGCTCACTCCCTGAGGGACACTCTAATGAAAAAACACATGGTACTACATTGCTAGACCCCATGTCCTTGGAACTAGAGGAGCAGGTGGAGACCCCTGCCAGCTCTGAGATGCTTCTACTGCCACTGGATCTACAAGACTTCCCACCCACTGGCCTGTGATCTTCCTGCATTCGGCATCATTGCATGTTTCTTGAGTCTGAAGAGGACTTTATAGATTGGTATTGGACATATGAGCTAATATCTGACTTATGGGCTTGTTCTGGATAAACTGGGATGTTTTCTCAATATATATTCATTGATAGAAAGTTCTCAATTAAACACATGAGTGTCTATGGTTTCTCTCATCTACCCAGACCAGGCATCCTCAAACTACGGCCCGCGGGCCACATGCGGCCCGCCGAGGACATTTATCCAGCCCGTGGGTGCTTTTGTCCTGCTTGTTTTTTAACTTCAAAATAAGATATATGCAGTGTGCATAGGAATTTGTTCATAGTTTTTCTTTACACTATACTCCGGCCCTCCAACGGGTCTGAACTGTCCCCGTTTAAAAAGTTGGAGGACCGCTGATACAGACTAACACAGCCTCTCACAGTTCCCAGTCCTGTCGGATGGGAATGGTGGGGGAGGCAGTTGGGGGGAGGGGTGCGAGTGGTCTCAGCTGGTGGAGACCGACTTGATGTAGACCCCCTAGCCCCCACCTCCCCCATAACTCCGCTCCAGTGGCTGGCAGTCGGCACTTTCAGGTGTGACCCCATGACGGCTCATGTAGATTTGGGGGGTGCAGACTTCACTGGACCCTGAGATGGGGGTTCATTGTTCTGCACTGGTGTGTGTGGGTGGGGTGGGGGGGTGCAGGGAGGGCTTGGTGCTGCTGCAAAGCCAGGATGCTCAATGGGTTAGACTTACCAAATGTTGACACAAGCCTGACCCACTCCAGGATACAGGCCGACCACCCTGACAGCCCGCAGCAGCAGGGAGGCCCTTGGCCACCTGGCTGGGGGGAAACCATCCCTTCTGCTCAGGTGGCACAATAAATGGTTCACTGGGGGGCATCTGGGAGTGAGGGGAACAAGGGGACACAGGGCACTGACTGGCCCTGTTCCACTGCGTTCCCAGCTGTGGCCTCCTTCCCACTTGTGGGGAAGCCCTGAAGACAGCAGGGTCAGGGTGCTCTCTGGCCCAGAGGGGCCCTGTGGAGTGCGTGCCCCCTGGACAGAGCCGTGGGTGGGTGCAGGTACCCTATGGCATGAGGGCCTACCTGGACAGAGCTGTGGGTGGGTGCAGGTGCCCTATGGCATGAAGGCCTACCTGGCCAGAACTGTGGGTGGGTGCGGGTGTCCTGTGGGGTGAGTGACCCCTGGACAGAGCCATAGATGGGTGCAGGTGCTCTGTGGGGTGAGGGCCCACCTGGACAGAGCTGTGGCCCACACAGTGTGGTGCTCCACTGTGGCTGAGTCGGCAGACGCGGTGGCACCTAAAAAGGGTCGCACCCTCTAAAAAATGTCGCACCCTCATGACCATGACCATCGCTAGAGCAGGTGGTCTTTCTTGTGCCCTTGGATGGCCGCTTTCAGAAGACGCAAATTCATGTGTGCTTCCCTGGACCGCCTACCTAGGGGGTTGGCACACAGGACTTCAGGGTCACCCTTAGTCACCGGGGGCTTCTGTAACCCCTTCCTGTCCTTGTGGCCATCATTACTGAGGTTTTGGCCCCAGCACACTGCATCCCACCCGAGATGAAGGTCAAGGCTCTGAGCCCCTGTCCATGGGAAGCTGTCTGTCCCCGGCAGGGCTGCCCATGGACTGTCCAGCCTGGAACAAGGCAAGCTGGCCTGAGCCACGGCGGTCTAGGGGCAGGAGGGTCAGAGGTGGCCAGCTCTTGCTGCATGTCATGGCGAGCAGGAAGAAGCAGAGCGAGAGACGCTTGGAGGACGGATGGATGGACGGACAGAAACATGCAGACAGGCACAATGCATTTTGGTGGAGGGTTCCACATTTGTTTCTGATGGAGAGAAGTGGCACTTAGCCAGCACCCATGTCCCCAATCTAGACTGTCCTTCCAAATATCCCTGTGCAGGCTCCCAGGGGGTCAGACCCCTGCTGGGGGGCACCCGAGGGCTGGGGCTGAGGCAGGATGGGCACACAGCAGGTGGCCAGCTACTGTCTGACAGTCATGGTCCAGAGGAGTGGCCGGTCAGTGTCCACGGTCACCACCCCGGAGCCGTCGTAGGTGTTGGAAGTGCTGACCAATGTCCCAAAGGCAAGCAGGTCGTTTGCTGCAGGAAGGAAGAGAAGGACCATGTGAGTGGGCCTGCTTGGGGCAGGTGCCAACTGCTCGTCGGCCAGTGTCCAGCTGTGATAGGTGAGCCTGGGCAGGGGCAGCTGGATGTCCCCAGGCTGCTCCATCCTGTAGTGTGGCCCAGGACCAGTTGACGTGAGGGCACAGGCAAAGGGAGCCAACTCAAGGCCAGAGAGTGGATTCCGACTCCTTGAGACCCCACGAAAGAGAGAGAGAATCCCAGCATCTCACAGGAGAGATAGACACTCCCCATGCCCCACAGGATAGAGAAAGAAAGAGGCTCCCCTGTCCCAGGAGCAGAATCTTTGTCTCGGCTTTTCCCAAGGTGACACAGTAGGTGAAGACTGCTCTCTCGGCTGGTTGGTGCCCTACAGATGCCCTGTGCCCACGGTCAGTTTATGATCCCGATTCTGTGAAGTTCTACGGCTCCTTTGTGATTGTCAAGCACAAGCGACTGGGGCAGGAAAGCATATTCTGAGAGTTCCGTGCAAGCTAGTCAGTGAGCTGCAGCCAAAATTTCATTCTGCATGAGGAGGCAGGGATTCTGGAAATATCCCTGTTTCCTGACTAACAAAGACATCCGGTTGTGATACAGCAGAAAGCAGTGACTCCCCTGCCATCGGTGTGGTCCAGTGCGCTAGGACTCATGGCCACCATGTATGCAGAAGGACATGTCCCACCCACATCCTGCGCCAGCCTCGTGGACCCCATGGCCACCCACCTGCACTGACCCTGCTGCTTGTCCAGTGGTCACTTTGAAGCTACTGTTATACAGGGATAGTTGCAGGACCATCAATAAGGAATCAAAATGGCTTCAAACTTGGGGTTCTTTCCCGGCATGATTGTTGAACACCAAGTGGGTGCACAAGCAAATGTGGTGAAGAAAACTGATGGTGCCTGGCTATCAAAAGACATAGCATCTGGGGTCTTAAAGGCTTGAAGATAAACAAATGGCCGGGAACCGATTACATGGAACTGTGTGTGACCTCCTCCCTGGGGGACAGACAACCAAAAAGTGGATGAAGGGAGACGTCGGACAGGGCAAGATATGACAAAATACCCATTTATAAATGGCAAGGGCTCATGCGAGAGGGGGGAGCGGGGAGGGAGGGGAAAAATGAGGACCTAATGTCGGGGGTTTAAATGGAGAGAAAATGTTTTGAGAAACGATGTACAAATACGCTTTACACAATTGATGTGTGTATGGATTGGGATAACAGTTGTATGAGCCCCTAATAAAATGTTAAAAAAAAGAACTAGAAAAAAAAACCAAAACAAAAAAACAAAACAAATGGCCATCTAGCTGAGAAGCAACAAAGCTCACAAGGCAGAAGGACACCAGCCTGTGTGACCATGAGGTGTCGATAGGATCAGGTATCAGGCATCAAAGAACAAAAAAAATCATATCATTGTGAATGAGGGGGAGTGCAGAGTAGAGACCCAAAGCCCGTCTGTAGGCAACTGGACATCTCCTTACAGAAGGGTCACGGGGAGGAGACAGCCAGTCAGGGTACAGTGTAGCAATGATGAAACATACAACTTTCCTCTAGTTCTTTAATGTTTCCTCCTCCCCACTATCATGATCCCAATTCTACCTTACAAGTCTGGCTAGACCAGAGCATGTACACTGGTACAGATCAGAACTGGAAACACAGGGAATCCAGGGAAGATAAACCCCTCAGGACCAATAATGACAGTAGTGATATCAGGAGGGAAAGGGGAAAGTGGGGGAGAAAGGGGGAACCAATCACAATGATCTACATATAACCCCTCCCTGGGGGATGGACAACAGAAAAGTGGGTGAAGGGAGACATCAGACAGTGTAACACATGAAAAATAATTTATAAATTACCAAGGGTTTGTGAAGGAGGAAAGGTGGGGGAGGGAGGGGAAATATGAGCTGATACCAAGGGCTCAAGTAGAAGGAGAATGTTTTGAGAATGATGATGGCAACAAATGTACAAATGTGCTTGACACAATGGATGGATGTATGGATTGTGATAAGAGTTGTACGAGCCCCCAATAAAATGATTTTTTTAAAAATTGGGGTCCTGGACTGGGTGGCACCTGGCTTCGACCAGGGTTTGTGGTGATTAACTGGGCTTGGTGTTTTCTCTGGGAAGTTAGAAGTCAAAGTAACTTCATTTGAAATAAGAAAGGTAGTTCGATACTCATAGTGAAGCAAGTGAAACACAGGCAAAGGATTAGTAAGATTCTTGCCATTTATGTATAACAGTAGTCAAGATTGCAACACATGAATGGTTTGCCCCTGTGAGCAGGAGACCAGGAGGCTTGTTACAGAGTAACCAGTAGAAACTACTCTTCGTAACCTAGGGGCACAGCGAGGTGCTGTCCCAGCATTGTACCGCCACCCCAGGATGGCCACTCCTGGCCACAGAGCAGAGAGCAGCGTCCAACGGGTTTGACATGAAGGGGGCCTCTGAGAACACTTGAGAGCCTGCTTTCCTAACAGACGGAAGCCCGCTGTCCTCTCAATGACCATGGTCAGCACCCACGCTCCCCCGACCCCACCTGTCTCTGAGATCAGACTGATGACAGGCTGTGGCCTCCTGTGTGGCCTTCCCCAGCATGTGGCCTCTCCTAGGAAGAGGGCAGCAGGCAGCAAACCGCGGAGCTCAAGGATGAGATGTTTTCCTGGCAGGGCACGGTGCAGCTACACGCTTTCAAGGCAACGTTCAAAATGTGCCCTCCCTCCAACTTCTGCGGCTGCTACTGTCTCGCTGTGTGTGCCCTGGGTTCTGCAGCGGTGGCCCCTAGGGCGTGTAGGGGTCAGCCAGGTGGGCCCTAATATGTGGGCCCAGGTCAACCAGGTGGCCTCATACATGCAAATGCGAAGCACCGCCCTGCTGCTGCCTCTGCATGTCAGAGTCCACTCTGACCAAGGTGCCCACGGTGGTCTGGGTGGGCCCAGCTGACTGGGGTGCCCACGGCGGTGAGGGTGGGGGGAGCAGGTTGACCAGGGTTCCCATAGTGGTCTGGATGGGCCCGGCTGCCTGGGACACCCATGGTAGTCTGGATGGGAGGATAGGCTGACCAGGGTGCCTACAGTGGTCTAGGGTGGATCTGGCTGCAAAGTTATGGAAACTTCTGAGCCACAACCAGAGGCTCATCCAAAGGGAATGAGCCCATCAGGCTGGGAGCTAAGGACCCAGGTGTCAGGGACAGAAGGTCACTTGACATCACACAGCCTACCAAGGCAGGGTTCTACATCCCACTTGGGTGAGCAGCGAGTGGGCCTTCAAAGCTTGCAAGTGGCCATCTGAGGAGCAGCTATGGGTCTCTCCCATCAGAGCAGAGTGACAAAAATTAAAGACACATGGAGAGAATGGATCAAGTAACCCATAGCTCCCATGCCCAGGAGAACGACATGGTATCTGGCCACCACCAGGGGCGCACCCACCCTTCAAGCCTGGAATTAAACTCCTCTTTCAGACAAACTACAGTTGGGCTTATCAGGTGAATAACCCCAGAGAGGCCGCACTCCCTAGAACAGTCGACAGGAAATGCACTGAGCCGTAAGGACGCTGCCAACACTGGCTGGCCTTGGACCCGGGGTTATCTGAATCCAAGCCCCTGAGGGCGTGCCGAGGGGCTGGCAGGGCATTGGCTGAACAGGCCTGGCAGCTTCAGAAGCGCCACCGTTCACACCCAGCTGCCATCCTGATCTCCTGGGCGGTGTAATTACGAGAAAGATCGAAATCCCTGCAGTCAAGTCCATGCCAACTCAAATCTTTGTCTTTCCCCCCAGAGCAGTTTCGAACTGCCGACCCCAAGGTGATAGCCCAACGTGTAACAACTATGCCACCAGGTCTCATGCCATTGCAGTGGCTGGTGATTGGAAAAACACCACGGCCCTACACATGGGAGCCTCCAATTCTGGAGCCATTATCAGCCAATTCCAGAGCTGTCAACGTGATTCCAGTTATAAATATATTTGCTGATTGTCCCTCACAAACCAAGCTTTGATTAGATAGTACTACATGCTAATATGTATACCTGTT